CTGAACTCTGCTTCTGCATTTGATCTGGCAACCGATTTTGCTTTTGCCGCCACCAGGCCACAAGATTGCCTACCAGTAAAGTTAAATAATCCGTAGTAAATTGTCCATCAATAGCATAATCTGTATTGTTGTATGGCTCAAGGAGTAATCTAGTGTTCCTTTGGTAATTTACTCTTGCATTAAGGTGAACTTCTTCCACACTATTCATAAATTGGCTAACCATGCTCGCAAAATATGCAATATCTGGCCTTGTATGAGCAAGATATATAAGTTTTCTGATCAGTCTTAGTACATCTCTCTATCTCTAGCTGGATCTTTATCTGGCTAACCACACTATTCATAAATTGGCTAACCATGCTCGCAAAGTTGTTGTTGTTCAATCCTTTCACATAATCAAAGGGGAGTACTTCTAAAAATGGTCATTGTTGAAGCTTAGAAGCTTTTATTTGATTCTTGTTCTTCTTTTTTATTTTCTAAGACCTAATAAAAATATCATCTACTGCAAGCCAGTTGTTGTCAGGTTCTTACACGTAATGTAGTTTTTTTAGAATAAAAATTTCTGTGCAGTCACTTTCCTAGGGTGCTGATATGTTTTTACGGTTTATCTCAAGGAATGAGAATGGTGGTTTTCATATTGAATGTAGAAACTGGTAGGAGAAAGTTTTAGAAGCTAAAAGTTTTTATTACATGAATAGCTGTTCAATCCTATTGAAAGGAAGTGTGACTAAGCTTTTTTCTGTTATTAAAACGTAGGAGCTGGTATTTGGTGGTGTAATATAGATATATACATGTGCCTGAGTGTGTCTTGTTGTTTGCTGCAACATTATACTTGATTTTTAATGGACTATCTTTTGACTGAAGGGAGCAAAAATCCTTCTTGGTGGTAAAAGACATAGCCTTGGAATGACATTTTATGAGCCTACTGTTATTGGTGATGCCAAGAATGAGATGCTTATTTCTAGGTAAGTACTTGAAGACCAATTATATCTGCAAGATTATGGTGCTTGATATTGTTAGTTATTGTAGTTGTCTGCTGCAGATGGTGAAAAAAAGTTTTCTAATGGTCTGAGTGGAATAAGATATTCGTGTGAACTTCCATTGTTATTATCAGTGACAATTTGCAACTGCTCATGCATATACAATAGAAATAAATGTTTTCATGCAAGCATATGCTATTGTGATTTTTATCTCTGTTGTTATCTCATATTAAGAAATTTGGAAACCAAAAGACTGTATTGTTTTATTGCACAAGACGCTTGGAAACTAATAGGAAATGTGCATTTGCCAGATCATGGTCATGGATAGAATTCCATTATCCTTAAAGGGGTTGTTATTAAGTGTTCGTTAATTTTAAAGGGGTTGTTATTAAGGGGTTGTAAAGCTTTTGAGGAATTTGGTGACACTATGGATTTTGATGTTTTGAAGAATAGATGGCTTAGTACCCTTGAATTTTTGCTAATGGATCATCCTCTGATTTATTTTGAGTCTTTCAGGAAGTTTTTTGTTACGGAGGACTAAGCTGTAAATAACTTGTACATGTTTATTTTTTTCTCTGCACTTCTGGTGCTTATAGCAATACAATCTTACTACTTTTCATTCAAACAAAAAAAAAGGTGTTCTTTACTTCTTTTGACAACCAACCGAACAGAGTTTCTAGTCAAATTCAACAAACAAGACTTACCAGCTCAGATATGAATTTTGTTAAGAAGTAAACAAATAACTCAGATTTGACCTGAGATTAGTCACAACATGGAAGGCTTTACCATTCTTCCAAGTGTTCTACTTAAACTGAAACTGAGTAATCATAAATGCTCTTGGAATTTGAGTCACTCAAATGTGGCAGCATTTGCCATTGCGCTGTCTTGACTCAGGACCTATCAGTGGTTTCTAATGTACTAATTCGGGATGAGGTTGACATATTGGATCAGTTTAGCAGTTTCTCATTGATGAATGTGTAAATTCTGTACTTATTTGCTTCAGGTGCACCAATTTGGTGCCTTTTATTGAATAGACTTCTCTGAAAAAAAATTAATTCTGGCTTAGACAGGTAAAACAACTACCTATACGTGGATTTTATAAATGGTACACTTGGCATGGCCTTTTATGTACCAACTATAAAGAGATAAGATTTGTACGTTTAACCAAACTTTTAATTTTTTTGGTTGTTTCATGTCTTCGTTTTGGATCTCTTCTGTGAATACCTGTAGAATGATAAATATCACGGTTGGCTTTTTGTTTGCTATTGCTGCTAGCGTCTTTGTTGGTAGCAAATACGTGAGGTTTTTCAGCTTGATGCCTCCTGTGAACTTTCATTTTAATTTGTTTTACAATTTCATTTGCAATGTTGATCTGTTTGTCTATTTTTATTATCTGGAATATCTTTATGAATTTTTGAATGACGGATCCCTTGTTTAGTTGACAAAGTTTACTGTTTTGGGGTCATATCAGAGAGGAGGTGTTTGGACCTGTGGCACCTCTTTTGCGGTTTAAAACTGAGGAGGAAGCAATTCAGATTGCTAATGACACAAATGCAGGTTCACACTTTAGCCTTTTACTCTTTTTTTTGTTACAAAACTGACTTGATTTACATTTTCTGGGGAGAAAATATGGGTGTTTCTTGGAAGATTGTGTTTTTACCAAGCTCAGCAAACTGAAATATTGAAAGCAGTTTTGGTTTAAACTTTCCAATGTAGTGCAGTAAAATTGGTTTTAATGGAGATAGGAAAAAATTTAAAAAATCCAATATGTAATCACAAGGATTCGCAATAACCACGACTGCATCCTAGAATTGTAAGACACTCTATGAGAGTATTTCAATATGTTTTATTCTTAGGCAGTCATATTTAGCTACAAAAAATCAGTTCTATGTTTATAGGGTGTCACAGATCCTAATATAACTAGGATACTGTTAAACAAAGTAAAACTTCAAACTGAATAAGTAACGAAAATCCTACTAAAATATTATTGTAGTAGATATCTTTCTAAATATAATCTTATCTGTGGTAATTATTATGTACTAGTCATATTCTACTAGTACTAGTATACTAGTAATTTTTTAGAAAATTATGAATAATGGTCTCACATCATTCTTCCCCTTTCTTCCTTTCTTTGGAAGAACTCAACTCTACTGAGAAATCCTGGATATAGTTATAAATGTGGACTAATCATAGAAAAGTTGCTCTTAATTCTTAAGTTCCTGAATTTGCATGATGGTGACCGGAATGATAGAGCATTAAAAACTTGTTTCTTTGGGAGAAAAAAAGTATTGAGAACTTTGAGTATCTGCGAAAATGCTGATAGTCATGGGACTAGGTGAATCAAGTAATTGAGCAAATTCTCTATTTTAAAAACTTAAGTTATCATATGACTAGGCAAGTTAAGTAAACAATCATCGAGCATGAGTTTTCTTGGGATGAAAGGAGGGTCCTTGACTTTGGAATGTAAATCTTTGGAAAGATAATATTTCGGTTTAGTGGTAGTTAAAAATAATCACTTAGTACTAGATTCCTCAGCTGTACATTGGACAATAACAATAAACTTCTAATATGCATTACGAATTATAATTTTATGTTTAATCTCAGTTTGCAAATCATGAATATTAGTGAACGAACAAGCATTATGGTCAGAAGTATTAAATCAATAGTTGTAGATGGTGAATCCATTGACTATTTTTTGGGTTGTATGAAAAGAGAGAAATTATAAAGCTTTTGAGGGGAGAGAATCTGATTTACGGATTGAGAGATAGATGGTTCTATGTTTTTGGTTCTATATTATTGAGGCATAACATTATTAGGGACAAAGATTTTGGGAATATCATTGATACTTTAACACGATTGTAAATTTTTGTACATGGGTTATACCTATTTAGTACTCTGTTATTATGCATGCTTCACACTTTTAATTTTTTTTTTTAAAAATAGTTGCATATGGTGAATATTGATGAGGAAAGGGAAAGGGCCTCTCCTAGTAGACGAGTAACAGAGCTATCATAAACAAACTTAATTGAGACAATTAATGGTGAAGGATCTTGATTTTTTTAAAAATGCACTCAATAAAATGCCTTAAGCTCTAATTAGCCAGCAAACTAAGTTCATCATCAACCTCAGTATCAATAATCACGAAGAGGTTATTTATTGTTTTCTTTTCTTTTCATTTTCTTTTTGGTGCTTAAAGTTCATATGAGCATTAATTCTGATGAACTCTTAAGTTTACAGTGCTTTAACTTTGAAAACTGTCATGTTTTAAGACTCAAGTTTTTTAAGTGTTTAGTAAAAATTAGTTCTTTTAAGTTAAATGGAAAAATTGCCAAAAATTTAGTATCTTAATATATTTTTATACAAAAATTTCGACATAACTTCTAATAAAATTTATCAACAAAATAGTTCTAATTTTTAATTATTAATTTTAATCTTTGAGATATTTTGTTAAGTTTTATATAACATTAACTATATATTTATTGTATAGAAAAATAATTAAAGTTAGAAATGGTCAAAAGAATTACAAGTTCTCCACTTGAAGCTCTCCCTCTGTTAGGAGGGCTAAAAGCTCTGGAGCTATTAGCACATCTGATGTGATGCCAAACGCCATTTTTGTCTTTTTTATTTTATTTTTCCAAAATATGGTTTAAACGCCTTTGATAGGAAAAAAAGCCCATCGAAGCACCCGAAGAACTTTGAAAACAAAATGATACTTATTAGCGACTTTGCTTCACTTATCATGACTATGATGCAATTCATTTTGGATTGACAAGTACCTCAAGATTAAGTGGTTATAGGAGAATATTTTACAGGAGTAATACCTTCATCATTAAAGGCATGTTACTAAGACAATTTATTGCTAAAGGATGCTGTAGGGCAGGAATCATAATGAATATCGTCTGTGTCCTAACTCTAAGGGGGTGTACTAGCAAAACTTGAGGTACTTGAAATTTATCAAAGAAATAAGGGTTGAATTTCTACGAATTTCAATAATTTGATTAAGATGATCACAGTGCTTCCTTAGGTTGGTTACAGATTGAGATTCTGTCAACGTACATCATAAAGAATCAATCATTGAAATGATGCAAGTTGTGGATCATTAACCTCAGAAGAGCCCTAGGACGAAAAGAAACTATAAATAACATGATTATGGATAAATCTTCCTAGATCTTTTTGATTGGCAATTCTTCATTTGCCACCTGATCTAACTCTTATCTTATGGTACCTACTGCAAAGATCAATTATGCGTACAAATCAGAGCCAAACTAGCATATAGCATATTGTCAAAGTTATTGAGTGCCAGTTAGAGCCAACTAGCATATCTAGCCTAATATCAAGTTAAGGATCGGAGACTTATCCTTGGTGGTGATCTCATTGATGGGTCTAGTAGTCGCAAACACATTACGAGAATCATTTTCCTTATTGATCAAAGCAAGGACAAGACATTACAAGAATATTTTTCCTTACTGATCAAAGCAAGGACAACAAAAGGATTAAGGTTATATATAGGTTATCTATTTCCTCATTTAGCTTGTCTCTCTCTCTCTACAATTCGATGTAGAATATCATGGATTAGAAGATTGGGCACTAGGAACTGGATGTATTTGATGCTGTATGTCTCTCCCGGGTGGTACTGACTTAAGAACTTGTTAGCATCCCTTCAGGTAACTTATTAGGTAGATCATTGGACCTCACATCATAGAATTCACTTCTCGAGTGTGTCAAGTCTGAAATAAGATCAAACTTGATCTTAAATGACGTTGAAGACTTCGGCAGGAGGATATTGAGATATTAAATCAGAAAGTTTAATCATATCTAGAGCAACTTGAGACTTAATTTTAGGAGAGCTTAAAATTTAGAAATTTAGGTTCAACAGAGAGACTTAGGGTCAGGGATAACCGCTTTAGTGGGGAAACCATTTTAGTAGTCAAAGGAGCACAATGGTTACCCTCTCTCCCTTATTTCTCAAAATCATTTTGATTCAAACTATGGATAACAAACTCAACTTTAGATGGTGGCCCTTATTGGTAGGTCAGTAAGGCTTTTACCATTTTACTTTAGTGTATGGTTCTCCTCACTGTGATTCGTTTCACAAAGTCACATAATCAAGGGTTTCCAAAAATAGAATTAGTGGTTTTCAGAAGCAAAAGAAGTTATAGTTAATTTAATCCTTGTAAATACTCATTTCAATAGGAATACTAAATCTATGAGTGAGATTCTACTAGAGTGATTTTATTTTCCGGAACAGTTTGTGCATCGCCTGTATCTTAAGATCTAACTTGGCAGCATCGAACTTAGAACAACCATAGTTTTGTGCAAAACCATTACTGATGACTAACTTGCACTTCCTATTTTGACATATAAGAGAAGTCTGAATGGGTACTATTCTTCTGCTCATCCTTTCCATTGACTTAGGAGAGAGGCTCAATAAGATTTAAATCCACACTATCTCAAACATTTTGGGACTCAAGATTAGAAAAGTGGGCACTCAATTATTAAGAATATATCGATATTTTTTTTGTAAGAAATCTTACTTAAAAATGAAGAATCACCCATGCATAGGGTCTCTCTAATATGTGACTAAGATAACATTAGCATAATAAAACTTCTAACTGAATGAGGAATAGAAATGCTACTAAGATGTAATCACATTAAATCACAACAAAATATTATAATTCTACTCTCGTAATAAGCCAATGCTACAAACAATTCTAGCAGTAACCATATTCTTTTGATAATTTTAAAAGTATGATGGATGGTCTAGCATTACTTTCTTCTTATAATGTGAAAATTTTATTTTCCAACATAATCATCTGAAGATTTATCTGTTTGAAAAAAGAAGAAAAAAAGCACCTATCACCTTATGATTTTCAATTTACATATGTAGGGTTAGCTGCATACCTATTTACAAACAATGTTCAACGTACATGGCGTGTCTCTGAGGCTCTTGAATATGGAATTATTGGTGTAAATGAAGGGCTAATTTCAACAGAGGTGGGCCTTTTTCCACAAACCCCAAAGTTTTACCAGATCAAACATACATTGGTTGCTTATTACTAGTTTGTTTCCGTGCAGGTTGCTCCATTTGGAGGTGTCAAACAATCCGGTCTTGGAAGGGAAGGATCCAAATATGGGATGGATGAATATCTAGAAGTGAGTAACATTTTTTTTTCTCCGCTGCCTTTGTCAATTGGACACCCATTTCACTGTACTTTGGGGCTTTTTCCCTGTGAGAGCCATTTTCTGTTTAGGAGGAAAGAAAGAAAGTCTTTCCTTTTATTTTTCCAATTTATTGAAGAAATTGAGAACTGGACTTCACAAAGAAGCCTGAAATACTTTCTTCCTTACATGGTTGTGCTCTTTAATGGTATGCAGTTAAAATACGTATGCTTGGGGGATATGAACAGAAAATAGTGTGCAAGGTTTGTACCTAGTTCATTTTTTCAAGTCCTCATAACTGAAAATGTATATTATTTAGCATACAGGTCCTTTGTCTAATCCCTTCAATTTGTGTAGGTAGGTTAATGGGGGAGAGTGCAGTCTCAAGAGTTGGTTCTGTGAGGTAAAGGATGAGCCCCAAGATAACCCTCTCACAGCTTCACTGCAAATAACTGTGTTTAAGCTAAGCATCGTGTTCTAGGTGCGTAGTATCATGCTTAAGCATTGTTGGTCGATGACGAAGTTCCTTATAAATTGAGTTGACAAGATGAAATAAAAGAAAACAAGAATTGTTTTTATAAAAATAATTTTAAAAAATGAAACAAGAGTCATGTTGTTATTTTGGCAAAAATTACTTTGTAAACCTCTTTGCTAGAGGGGAAAACTTTCCGGTTTTGTTGGAAAAGGATGAGTAGATTTCAAAGAGTAACACTCAGTTTGCCTGAAATAAAAAATCGAATTTGTGATATGAAGTTCAATGGTGATTTAATTATCAATATGTTTGGTTTACGATTAGTTAAAAACTTTTATGAAATATATCTAAAAATCTGTGTGTTTATGATTCATGTTTAGAATATTAATTTGTATATATATGAATGGTACATTTGTATATATGTGTATGATGATACGTTAATAGAATTTTTTATTAACGAATTTGAAAAATTATTTCTTTATCATTTTTCCAAAGAAAATTTCTTTACTATTAATAAAACGTGAATACATAGTCTTTTTCATTAAATAGTTAGTGTAAGTTTTGATTAAAAATTTTGGTTTCAATACAATTTTTAATTGAGTTTTCTTGTTCTTCCACGGGAACTCGGCCTGCTCCGAACTGCCTCTGCGTCCTCTGCTCCGCTAATCTGTTTCTTCCTCTGCGTCTCTGGTTCTCTTCTTCGGACGCTCTCTCTTTCTTAGTAGAAAAACAAATATTTGAAATTCAAGAGCATCGCCTAAACATTGGTATTATAAGAAAAGAAAATGCTGAGGCCGGGCTCTGTGTCTAGGCCGGATTGGTCTGCATAGACGGCCGCCTGGTTAAGGCTCAAAATGGGCTTTACAAAGATGGGTTTATTTGGAAATGGGTAGGATTTGTGGAATAGATTTGAGAGAATGTGTTTGAAATATGATGCTTTTTGGTTAAAGAGAAAATTGGTTTTAAAAATCAATTAAGCTTTAATGTTTAAATAGTTTCAGCCTACCAATTAGTTAGATATGTTTTTATTTTTTCTTTATTTTTTTTATAATTTTATTCTAATTATTTGTTAAATAGTAAAACAAAAATTTGTCTAGATCAAATCTTATTATGTATATGAAAAAGTAAAATTAGAATTCTTCCATTATTTTCTTTAAAAAAAAAAAATTATTCTGAATGTAATATGAAGGATCGTGTTACTGGATTATAAAAAATGTTAAAATTTAAAATTTGATAAACAATTAGTTAAAACATAATAATAAAAAATTTTATGGAGTAGTTACCGGTACTAGTGAAGCTTGATTTCTATTTGTAAATTTATCATGACTGTTGTTTATAAGGATAGTGGGAGAATGTTTTTAAATTTGCATTAACTTCATCAGATTCATGAATCATCTATGAGCTTTCGAAGAAGACAATTTTCTTTAGTTGTTTGTTTTGCTATTACCGTAAATAAGAGACAAAAGACAATCTCTTCCTTACATTATTTTATATAATTCCAAGATATGTATGTATTCAGTTATGGACAATCTATAAAGCAATTGAAAATATCAATTGTGTGATAAAGAATACTACATACATAAATCTATTGTTAAATATGTGTTAATAGATATTTCTTTCCTATACTTTTCAGATGTAGTTTTTCTCATCAAATTCAAAATTTCGATTGTGGACCAACAAGTCTTTTCTTTGACTCTATCAATAATGAAGTCGTAGTATTTTCTACCCTACTTCGTATTATATATATATATATATATATATATATGCTTGTTAATTTATATAGCATATGAAAAAAAATGATGAAAAAATTAATAGGAGCTGAACAAAATTCAAAATACAGATTTATAATATATTTGAAATGAAAATGTATCATCAGTGTTATCCCTTGGAAAAACAAGTAGAGACAAAACTAGCTAGATGCATACTTTAAGTTGTAGATGATTTTCGAGTTAGTGCGGCCATCCATTTGGCTACAATTCATTGAGAAATAAATTTAATTATTAAGATATAAAAATGTTACTTGTACATATATATATATATATATATATATATATATACACAGAGACCATGTGTAAGAAAAGTATGGCATTTCATTTCATTTAGATTTGGAGATTCCTGTCTTTTTGTAATAAAATTAAGAAATAATGGAGATTAAAGTTAGTATTTAACCTTTAGTTCAATCTCAATCCCAATTCGTCATTTTTTATTTTAAAAAAATTAAGCTAG